AGATCTCAAATCGGTCAAGAGATGACGGAGCTATGAGCTAAAAGTTTGTACTTGAAAAAAAAACTCAGAGCCGCTTTGCCGCGGCTAAAAAAAGAACACTTAATTGCTTTGGGGATGTTGTTTTCCGTAATTATAATTGAATTGCTACATCCATTTAAAATTCTCTTTGCGGTTCATATTGACTTTCAAAGAATTTCAAGTACCGCGGTTATTGAGGGTTCCCTCTTGTCTCTTCTTTGTATCATGATCAACTTTTTGTTTTGTAAATTTTGTCTAAATTGTTTCTACATTTTTCGAATTCAAAAGTTTGTGATACACATATTTATATATAAATTTCTTTGTAACTGGCAAAGAATTTAAACTCAGATGAGCAGCAAACACTTCTCAAAAAAGTGAGAAAGAAAGAAGGATTCGAAGTAAGATTTCAAAAGTAACACACTGGCAAAGTAATTATTTGATGTATTTTTCATTTCAATTGCAACTTTTCCCCCTATTAATCAATATTGTTTATCATTTTTGAGCAAAATCATATTGAGCTATCTGCTGTGTCCACCGCGGGCAATCAAACTCCGGATTTTAGCGTTGTAAGTTTGTAGACTTACTGCTATCCAACCGGGGGACATTAATCGACATAATTAAGAGTATATACCCTTTACGTTACAATTTCTCGTACTGTAGCTAAATTGAGGGTCGGGCGTAGCCAACGATTAGCGTGTCCGAACTATGAAAGATATTATTCGTGGTTCGTGACCTTTTGCACAAATAATAAAATAAAACCGCTCCGCACTTTGAAGCGTGAATGCTCTATACAAGTGATGGTCGAATCCCACTATTCGATCACATATGGTAGATCAAAAGTTGGTGGCGAGTGCCATTTTCCTTCTAGTCTATCATTTCTAAATTCGGCCATCTATGTGCACACAGATCTTCTGTAGCTTTACGCGAGATTATGAAACAAACGAACAATAGTAGTTTAAATAAAACAGTAACGGAAAGCTCAAACCATTTGAAGAATTTACAACGAGCGACTGAAAACCCCAAGACTCCGTGGTAATAATGCATTCGTGAGACGCCAGTAAGAAACACTCTTCCAATTATAGGCGATAATATTCAATAGAATCCTGGTTAACAATGTAAACAAAATTCATACCCTTCTATGTCCTCATGGAAACCAAAGAAGTAAAACGACGCCAGTAAGAAACACTCTTCCAATTATAGGCGATAATATTCAATAGAATCCTGGTTAACAATGTAAACAAAATTCATATCATTCTATGTCCTCATGGAAACCAAAGAAGTAAAACGACGACTCTAGAAAATGCTTTATTTCACGTAATATATGAACCATAAACCTTAAAACCCAAACTATATTTCTGGCCTTAAAGTCATTTTTTTAAGTACAAAAAAGAAACTTGAGTTTCAAACAAAAAAAAATCTACAGTAAATACGTATTCTCGTTAAAAGGTTATTTTTCACACATTCTTTTTAATTAGTCCATTACTCATTCCAATGCAGAGGTGTGCCTGGCATGGCCAGGTGGATAAGGCGCTCGACTCACAATCTGAGGGTCGCGGGTTCGAATCCGCATACCACCAAACATGCTCGCCCTTTCAGCCGTGGGGGCGTTATAATGTGACGGTCAATCCCACTATTCGTTGGTAAAGAGT